TTACACTGCTAAATTAGGGTCGGCTAGCGCAGATAGTCCTCGTGTAGCTTTGCGCGAAATCCATAACAAACAATCAGCCAAAGAGACATAAATGTTATCGGACGCTGTCACCGTTAAATCGGAATTTTCGGCCGGACGCTTGTTCCGTCTGCTCGGGTATAAGGAGTTAATATGAACTTTTTGTATGTAGAGAGAATTTATTTAGGATAACGTGGTTGATTTTTTCAGTTATATTTAAAATCAGAATTTGCATATTCTTTATGTTAGAACTTTCTACTAATGGCAACTGTTGTGTTATTATCACTAGTTAGTTTTAGCGTAAAGCTACATGATGGGATATCTGCGCTCTATATACCACAGACAGTTGAACCACGGCTTTTAGCGTTCTAACTTTCTAAACTTACCACTTACCCACGGGGAGAACTTTTTATTGTGTTGACAATATAAACAATGTTTCTTTGTTTGGGAAATGTAATAATTAGATTTGTAAGATAATCAATAGGATGAAAAATGCGATAAATATATATTTTTTCTCAATGGCTGAATGTGCTCCAATGACTAGCGCGCTGAACTCTGAAGTTGAGGTTCCATGTTTGCGTCCTGATAAAAAATGAGGCTGTGGATGCATTTTAAGAGTGAAAACCAATTCCTATTATTTGGACTGACAAGGGTGAGTGTTTACTAGCTACCTTCCCTCTAGTTTGTCAGCTGAAAATTAAGTATGGGCTGCGCAGATAGCCCTCGAGTAGCTTTGCACAAAGTCCAGCAAGCAAGACAAAAGTCTTTTTTTTTTTTGAACTTCGCACATTATACACAAATTATAACTGCGCTAGCCGTCCCTAATTTAGCAGTGTAAGACTAGAGGGAAGGCAGCTAGTCATCAACACCCACCGCCAGCTCGTGGGCGAATCTTTTACCAACGAATAGTGGGATTGACCGTCACATTATAACGCCCCCACGGCTGAAAGGGCGAGCATGTTTGATGGGACAGGAATTCGAACCCACGACCCTCAGATTGCGAGTCGAGTGCCGTAACCACCTGGCCATGCCGGGCCAAAGTCTTTTTGATCTTCCGCTATATATATTTTTCTCTTATCTTTAAAATACCTCTTACAGAAAACCTGTAACCAATAGTAGAACCATTATTCAATTTACATTATTAATTGTGTTAATACATTTGGCTATCTTTTATTATAATTAATAATCCTCATTTAATTTGCATACATCCTAAAGGAGAACATTTTGATTATCTTATTACTCGATTTATTTTATTAAACATGACATCTGCAAATGTTATCACTTGTGTCTTTCTTCTTACGAATGAAAACCCATTTTCAAAAATATTTTAGTCAGAAATAACTTAGTACTTTCGTATATTCTACGAATTGTAGCACGATATTAAATTTAATTACTCTTGCCCGCCAGTGACTCAGCGGTAAGTCTGTGGACTTATAACGCTAAAACTAGAGTTTCGATACTTGTGGTGTGCACATCACAGATAGCCAATTGTGTAGTTTTGTGCTTAACGACAAATCAACATTTCTTTCTTTCTCTCTTAATGCTATTTTTATAATTTCAAATTATTGTTTTAAACTTTTCATTAAGAAAACAACTATGTTTAATGATTAGGATGGTGTTCCTACAGTTTTTCAACACAGTACAAGCGGATATCGTGAGCTTTACACATTATTGTGACAAACAGTATGCTCTTGAAATTATCATCTTTCTTGAACTCTTTTCGTTC